CAACAATGCCGTCGCCCTCGCTTGTAGAGAGGGGGCGAGGGAGAGAGGGAAGTGGCGAGAGGCGAGAGGGCAAAGCGGAGGAAGTTTTCCGCGAATGTCCGTTCGCTGCAGAGCGACTGTTGATCCCAGCGTCGGATCTTTCTTTCGGTGGTCGATTTCAGTTGTGGTGGCTTGCCGGCGGGCGGCAAGTTGTTGTCGGTCGGTGTTTTTTTGCCTGCTGCGGAGTGTTTTTGCTGCTGGCTCTTTTGCGGGTATCGGCTGGTGGTGCTGCGGGGAGATGGCCGCGTTCAATCTCCCCACGAACCGGCTGTGGTGAACAAAAAGGGGTGGTCAGATGGACAAAATAGGGTCGGAGATAATGTTTTTCTCGGGGTAGGGGTCGACCCTGCAGGTTTTAGGACAAAATCGGGTGGTCTGCGGAGAGGGTTTTGTACGCGGCTGCGTCTACACTGTTTTAGGTTGTTGAGCAGGAAAAAAGGGTTGGAGAGGGTCGGCGCGCCGTGTGCGCGGCGGGTGGAGGCGCTGTGGCGCGATTTCGTGCGGTATCGGGTGTGTGCGTCGTCGCGCCGCGGCACTTTCAGAAGACGTCCCGATTTTGCACGTTGTACCCCAGGGACGTCCCGATTTTGTCCAATCCCCTTTTCTTTTTGCTCCCGCTGTTGGCAGTTTCCGGGGGGATCTTTGGTTGAGGTCAGGCAACATTGTGAACACTTCGCACAATCCCAGTTGGTGGATGGCGTTGTTGGCCGTCAAGTCGAGGTTGCATGGAATTTTTATAAGCCTCGTTCGCAAGGTTTGGGTTGCCGCCGCACCACAAACCCTTACAAGGTGTGTACCAGTGGCCACATTGTGAACACTTCGCACATTCCCCGTTCGTGGGTGGCGTTGCCGGCCGTCAAGTCGAGGTCGCATGGAGTTTTACAACCCCATTCGCAAGGTTATAGGTTGCTGCCGCACCACCAACCCTACAACGTGTACCAGTGGCCACCCGTGCTTATATCTGGGGGGCATCAGACGATCATGTGTGTGTGTTTTTTATATTATTAGCGTCGACCGCGCTAACCGGCTGACCATTGAAAAGACGTCAGTCTTAGTGCGGTTGAAAATAGCGTGTGTTTTTATTACGGCACGGCTATTTGGGACAACGTTGTCCCAAATTTTTATTTGGGACAACACGTCTAACTCGGCGTAGAAAGCTCGGATCGACCTCAAACCAAGTTTGTTGTAATCCTACTGGACACAGCTTTCACGGAATGTATTTTGAGTCCACAACGGAGCCGGGGCCGAGGAGATAGGGCCTAAAAAAGGGGATCCGTGGCTTCGGTTTTCCTCCATAACAAGGAGCCGCTTTTTTAGGCTCTATCTCCTCGGCCCCGGCTCCGTTGTGGACTCAAAATACATTCCGTGAAAGCTGTGTCCAGTAGGATTACAACAAACTTGGTTTGAGGTCGATCCGAGCTTTCTACGCCGAGTTAGACGTGTTGTCCCAAATAAAAATTTGGGACAACGTTGTCCCA